GATGCACACATCTAGTGTCAGACCAATAAAGATATTACCATTTTGAAATGTTCAATTGATCTGTATGCGAATATGCATGGACTGATGTTTGCTGTCTGACTGAATGCCGATATTGGAACATATAGTTCGATAGCGATACAATACCATTACTTTTTAATTTGTTTTTCTATTTTATTCAATTATATATATACTGGTCTTATATTGGTTGGGTAGGTTATGGAAACTGATATCTAACCGAGATTTTAATGCTTAGTTTTCACCAGTATTACCTGCAGCAGCTGCAGCACGAGGCCAGATGGTTTGTTCGATATCAGAGGCATCAATACTTTCTCCCCACATGCACACCTCACCACCAATGACCAATTTTTTGCTGCTCAGGCGTGGAGATGTTTGTAAGGGGCTCATTCATGTACAACTTCTGCCATGGGACATCCAAGTGATCCAAGTACCACTTGTCCTGGTTGCTCACAATGCATATCTCAGTCCGGCCGCCACCACCTTCTGCGCTATTCCACCACCAAGCCTGCAAGCACACAAGGAAAATTGCCTTATGACATTGATGACACCAACACAATCCATCCGGATCGGTGTACACAAATAAATCCAAATTTCCAACATGCATTCTGATTTTTCTTTTTTTTTGGGTGTGAGGATCTGGGAGAGGAAACACATGTGGTTTCTGAATGAAGTAAGATAGTGTATCATCATAACTTTTTGTTTTGACTAGACAGATTGGACAAAGAAAAAATGGCATCAAGAGCATAATGCAATTAACATTCTATAAGAAATAATGATCTGATCTCATTGGATGATAAGTTTGTGCTGCATTAGTTTGTTCAGTTTGCCATGCTGACCAAAAGATGGATGCTGAAAAAGCAAATTGTTACTATACATGTACATAGTCAAAGATTATAAATATGTTTATTTTGACTAATATTAGACATTTTACAACATCAACTACAAGTATGATGAATGAATGATGGATGGTCTCTGTTCCCACGTTTCATCATGGTATCACTGATTACATGAGGGTTGTTAATGACCACATTTATTATCCAAAAAATCAACATTTGATGTGTGTTTTATCATTAACGATGAGAACTTACATTTGACATATTTGAAAGCATATGTAAGATATCTTTCTTGTGTCAAAGTCAACTAAAAACAATTTTGATGAGATAGCTCAAGTCAGCAAAATATTGTATATATATCCTTCAATCATGAGAGATCTATGATCTGATTTATCCAAAGACAATAAAAGAAGGTTAGATGGGCTCCGAAAATTCTAAGAAATCGGCTAAACTATAAATTCTAAGAAATCTTTTTGATGAAAGAGGGATGATCGAGGTAAAATACCTCACGAGAAACCAAACACCCCCTTGGGAACCAATGAGAAATAATTATCATATCTTTATCATTCTTGCCATTTGGTAGGCTATCCGAAACAACAGCACTCATCGTGTGCTGACAGCAACAGTAGCATCCCATATCTTGCAAGAACCCAGAGCCCATGGTCATGGTGATGGTGGTGTGCGTGATATGGTTGACGAGAGCTCAGTTACGAGCGTTGCGGAGGGGCATCGAGGAATGGCCGGAGTGGGATCGGCGCCCATGGGCCCGGGATCGTGCGCGGTGGTGGAGGAACTTATGGTGTTCCGGCATCGGCTGCGCCGGTGCGTTGGCAAACGGTGACGAGGTTGAGGTTGTGGTGATGGTGGTCGTCGTGGACGCGGTGGAGTTGGATAGTGGTGGGAGGAGTCATGTGCATGTAGAACTGAGGCGACAGCTTCAGAGCTCTCAGCTCTTGCACTTCCTTTTGCAGGAACTCGCAGTCCACCTCTGTTTGCTTCAACTTCGTCCTGAGATTAACCCAAGCATTAATGAGATCAGTATACGAAGGTCACAGCATCATCACACCTAATTAATGGCCGGAGAAAGAATACCTTGCTCTTCGGTTCTGAAACCACACTTCCTCTTGCCTTGGCCTCAGGTTGAGTTGTTTGGCCAACGCCAGTTTTTGCTTCTGTCATCACGCCGGAGAAGCAGACCCATGTTAGCAACGATTGCTACACCATCATGTATCGGTAGTCACCGAAGGAGAAGAGGGAATTAAGGGGATGAGGGTGTTGTGCTCCTTGAAGCTCTCCTCGAGGATGGTGGACTGGTCCTTGGAGTGGAGGAGAGCTTGTTGCTCTCCCCATCCAACGACGTCATCGCCTCGTTGGGAGAGCTCGCCCCCTCCGACGACGTCATCGCCGCCGCGGCAGTGTCGCTGCCGACACTCCCGTCGTTGTGGCACCTCTTGTGCCCCCCAGCGCTTGCCCCAAGGGAAACGTATTCAGGCACCCTAAGCACCCTGCCGCCATCGGAGGCCGGAAGGAGGCGCTTGCGCTAGTCATGGAAGAGCCCGAGGCGAGGCTTCCTCGACACCGCTGCTAGGCTTCCGATGGCTGGCCTTGTGCCCGCCTAGGGCATGATACGACCCGAATGCCTACCCGTAGACGGAAGGCCTGTACTCGAGCTTCGCCGACCAAGTCGGAGGACAACAATGGCAGGGCGATGAGTACCGGGCCCTCATCCGCGAGCGAGCACTAGGAGGCAAAGCGCCAAGTACTCCTTTGCTAATCGAAGAGCTTGGGTCCGAGGGAAAATCGTTCCATATAAACCTGAAAAAAAAAAAATATATATATATATATATATATATATATATATATATTGTGCATAACGAAATAGTTGAAAAAAAAAAAGGTTTTACCATAACACAGTATAACACAGATTTAACTCTCCCCATTTTATTCCTATCCACATACAAACACAACTATATATATTACAAAATTAAAACACATTCCACTAGATAAGATAGATGAATAAAAGTATTAACCTATATAGTGCTATTAGTCTTAATAACTAAAAAAAATAAGAGTAGGTTCAAGGATTGTCTATAAAATGATTCTGATAGTACACGATCGAGTC